CCTCAGAAAAAAGTATACCGCATTCTTCAGTAGAGCTGCAAATCTGTGTCTGCCTCTAGGGGTCATTGTGTTTTTAAAAAAAGACCCCCCTCCCCCATAAAACCAATAAATTATGTAAATAACATGCAACAAAACACCCCAAAAACTATAAATAGAACAGTTCACATAGCCAAAGACTCAAAAAGCCAATAGATATAAACTATTTCACACAAAAAAGACCTTGAGCTTACTTAAAATCTCTCCCTGGATCAGTTCACCCTTCATTGCTTGATATCTCAAGGTCATGTTGTGTTTTGCTCTCGCACATTTGAACGACACAGCGGGAGAGTACTAAACACGAATTGTTCCCCACGTTTCTTGTCATGGCTCATGTCATTTCATGCATCCTCCTTCTTTCTCTCTCTCCACATAACTTTTTTCCTGCAGGCTCGAAGCTGGCGAAGGAGAGTGAGTTGGATATTGGAGTCATGCCACCGACACGTTGTGTTCCAATTATTTCGGTTTCCCCCCCACCCCCCTGTAGCTTCTTTGTAGAGCGACTTTTGAGTTCCTGGGGTGTGCTGACAAAACGAGTCACTTCTCGATCTACAACTTAAGGGGAATTAGAGATACGGCAAGTTTATAGGTTGAGTTGGTACAACTTATCCATATAATAATATGAAATACTCAATATTCAACTTAAAGAATTTAACTCAGTGGAAATACAATATGTCGATTTTGAAGGTTGGGTTAAAAAAATTATAAGTATGAAAGGACAAAAGACATCATTTGAAAAAAAAAATAGCATCAGTTAAAAAAATGAACAATGTCAATTTTCAGATGCTAAAGAGTATCACATTTCACGGATTGCGAGAAGTAACTGTATTTGTCAGCACGCCTCACTGAATTTGATTCCCCCCTTTTTCTGTCATCCCCCCGATCTCTCTCTTTATCTCACACATCTGTAGCTTAGCTCACCTCATTGCCATGTGGTCTAGATTCTTCCATTACTCATCAAGCATTTCATTTTGTTGGTCATGCTGTCAAACGTTCTATTTTTGTACTGCCTTCTTGAACCCTTTGTTGGATGAACAAAATAGTTATGTTCACCGGTTGACCTTGTGCTCATATATTCAATTCTTGCTTTGGAATTAATTCATTGTCCTCTCCTCTGCCCCCAACCACCTTGATGTAGTCCACCTCCACTCCTCATACATGTGTTCTCTTCCCTACGTGACCCCACAGTTTAAAGTAAAACCTTGAGAGGTCTATATGTAGTTACATATCGAAAGTAATATCCTGAGAGGTCTAGATTATGTTGTTACATATAGAAAGTAATACCCTGAGAGGTCTAGATTATGTTGTTTCATATCGAGAGTAATACCCCAAAGAGGTCTAGATTATGTTGTTACATATCGAAAGTAATACCCTGAGAGGTCTAGATTATGTTGTTACTTATCAAAAGTAATAGACTGAGAGGTCACATATCGAAAGTTAAGCCCTGAGAGGTCTAGATTATGTCGTTACATATCGAAAGTTAAACCCTGAGAGGTCTAGATTATGTTGTTACATATCGCAAGTTAAACGATGAGCTTCCAACAGCTCAAAAGAATTTCAAAGAAACTTTTATGTCCAAGAAGTTTTTCTTTCTTAAGCACTTATGAACTTGTCTTCACGTCTAAGTTGATAACACAACCAACAAATAACCCCTTCCCCCCACCCCAACCCCC